CTTGTGACCTTACTCTTTCTTCAGTCTTTCGTATAATATTCATGGATAATATCATATATTAGTGACAATAATATATAACATGTTCTGAAGTAAATTTTACATTTGTCAAGAGTAACTCTGTTTTTTTGAAACTTATCTCTGAAATTTCCTCTCGTGCATCATCAGAGTAATCATCTATATTTCAATCCTCTTCCAAGTAGTATCATTGAGAGTTACAAAAATTTAGATCTAGGTTGCTTGATTTTGGTATTATTTGTTCGATTTGTGACCTTACTCTTTCTTCTGTCTTTCATATAATATTCATGGAATAAATGAACGATAATATCATATATTAGTGACAATAATATATAACATGTTCTGAAGTAAATTTTACATTTGTCAAGAGTAACTCTGTTTTTTTGAAACTTATCTCTGAAATTTCCTCTCGTGCATCATCAGAGTAATCATCTGTAACGTATTATCGTCAACCTTACGTTCATGTTAGGTGTCTTATTTAACTTTATTGCTCAAAAATATTTTGACCATAAATCACAGTATTAAAGAGAATTATTCTCTTTTATTTAAAAAAAATCATCAAATTCAGAACGAAAAGTGTTAAAATAACATACAAATAGACCACATCCAATGTCATTTATCTTTTGTAACATATTTCTACCACACATTAAAGAAGAGATATGACCTGCTTCAATCGCGTAAATCACGCTATAAATAAAAATCTCGCAATTTTGCAACTTTCACGATACTTCGCTGTTATTTATCTTCCTTATAAACTGCTCATTCGCGTTGATTAACGTTACATTAATTTCACAGCAATTAAAAGGAAACTGACGAAAATTCCTAGATGCTCGTCGCTTTGTTTACTACATTTCACCATTAAACGCTATCTCTCGTTTTAGAAAACAGAGGCTATGAAATCCACCATATCTGGTATTAGCGAGATGAATGTAATTAAACACCATAAATGATCCCGCCGCCACGAAGCAGTCCTAAATTACGGGTAAATGGCTTTTGCTTAAGCACACGCTGCATATTCGCATGATAAAACTGCTGGAGGTGACACACAGTGAAACGAAGACGCATGTTATTTAAAAAGGAGAGAAAAAAAAACAATGTATATAAACGAACAATTCTTTATCTCCGTAACAAGAACATCGCAAGACTGCCGTGATAGTACCTGTTGAACTCTTGTATCCTGTCCAATTAATTCATTCGAAATCGTGTTACCGTTGTTGGCCAAAAGAAATTCATAACTTAGTAAGTTACACGTTTTTGTCCGTTGTTACAGTTAAATAACGATGATATGCTATCCTGGTTATTTACGACTGCTACACACCAGTGCTGTGGCGTTTTCTTTTTTATTTTTGCAATGATAAAAAGCAAAGGTTTTCCCTTACTTTGTAACGATAGCAAGTTTTATACAATTGTGAAACAGCAAGATACGAAAACGATGTTTTCTTCGTTTAATTGCGAAAGTCTGGTTTTCTACAAAATATTTCGTCATCGAATATAAATTTCACGCATTAATGATCTGATATCATTTGGAGAAAATACATAGAAAGAAATATATTTATGTGAAATTTTTGGTTGAATATAAGAGCTATTTAATTCTTTTTCTGCACTCCTACTTAAAACAATTAATTACCGATGTGTTTGCAAGCGAATGTTTACGCAAATTCATATACAATCATTAAATAAAGAATAAAAAAAAAAAA